GGAGACAGTGAGTTCTAGTCCCGCCTTAGGCATGAAAGCTGACTGGGTGACTTTGGGCCAATCAGCAGGAGAAGATGACTTCTAGTCCTGCCTTAGGCATGAAAGCTGACTGGCTGGCTTTGGGCCAATCACTTGGAGACGGTGAGTTCTAGTCCCACCTTAGACATGAAAGCTGATTGGGTGACTTTGGGCCAATCACCAGGAAATGGTGAGTTCTAGTCCTGCCTTAGCCATCAAAGGTGACTGGGTGGCTTTGGACCAATCACTAGGAAACGGTGAGTTCTAGTCCTGCCTTAGGCATGAAGGCCAACTGGGTAACTTTGGGCCAATCACCAGGAGACTGTGAATCCTAGTTCTGCCTTAGGCATGATGGACTAGGATGGAGAAGGCCCTTTCAGGGTAGCTAGTCCTCAACTTAACGACAGTTCGTTTAGTGACCGTTCAAAATTACAAGATCACTGAAAAAAAGTGACTAGGACCGGTTTTCCACACTTAACATGACCGTTGCAGCCTCCCTGTGGTCACATGAATTCAGTCGCTGGGCAACCTTTACGACGGCTGCAGCATCCGAGGGTTATGTGAGCCCCTTTTGCGACCTGCAAAGTCAGTGGGGAAGACAGATTCACTTAACAACCATGCTGTTAACTGAACAACAGCGGTGATTTGTTTAACAACTGAGGCAAGGCAGGTCGTAAACTGAAGGTAAAATGGAGCTAAATTCACTGAACGAATGTCTCACTTTGCAACAGAAATCTGGGGCTGAACTCAAGGGTGAAAAATGGTCAGAAGTGACTTTTTTCAGTGCCTCCGTAACTTTGAACCGCCACTAAACGAACGATTATAAGTTGAGGACTCCCTTGCTTGGTTGTTCGGCGGTTCTTGGATCTCTTTCGGTCACTTGCCGTATATCCTTCAAACCAAAGTAAACAGCAAGAGGTTTTCAAATGGTTCTCTCCTCTGAGTAATTTCTTTTGACAAGTTACCGCCAGAGCATAAAATATTTATAGGTTTTGCTATGGTACATTAATTACAATAATTGGGTTTTAAAAAGGCATAGGGAGAGGTAATTGAGGAAGAGGCTTTGATAAGGATATGGAAGTAAGTATCTCATAATGAAAACATGATAATTGGTCAGCTCATGTACCTTGAGACTTCAAGGTTTGCTTTTATGCATATAGCCAAGGTGGACTCAAGCCTTCCCTCCTTCCGAGGTGGGTAAAATGAGGACCCCGATTGTTGGGGGCAGGAGAGTGACTCTGTATAAACTGCTTACAGAGGGTTGGAAAGCACTGTGAAGCGGTATATAAGTCTAAGAGCTATTTCTATTGCTATCTTATGTATTGTTTATCTGCGGTGGCACAGTGGTGCGACTGCGCTATTGCAGGGCTAGCTCTGCCAACTGCCTGCAGTTCAATCCTGACCGGCTCAAGGTTGATTTGGCCTTCCAAGGTTGGTAAAATTTGAACTCCGATTCTTGGGAGCAAGAGGTTGACTCTAAACCGCTTAGAGAGGACTGGAAAGCACTGTGAAGCGGTATATAAGTTTAAGGGCTATTGCTAAGTGGGAAGGGAGGGAGGGAGGGAGGGAGGGAGGGAGGGAGGAAGGAAGGAAGGAAGGAAGGAAGGAAGGTAGGAAGGAAGGAAGGAAGGAAGGAAGGAAGGAAGGAAGGAAGGACCAAGGTAGCACAGTGGTTAGAATGCAGTATTGCAGGCAAACTGCTCACTGCCAGCAGTTTGATCCTGATTGGCTCCAGGTTGACTCAGCCTTTCATCCATCCAAGGTCAGTAAAATGAGGACCTAGATTGTTGGGATCGAGAGGCTGACCCTGTAAACCGCTTAGAGAGGGCTGTAAAGCACTGTGAAGTAGTGTGTAAGTCTAAGGGCTATTGCTAAGTGTGAGGAAGGAAGTTTCTCCTTATTTCCAGGTTAAATCTCTCCTTGTTCAGTTTCCATCCCTTGTTCCTTGTCTGGCCTTCAGGTGCTTTGGAAAATCTGCACCTCTGTAACTGTCTGGCTTGGTTCTGCAACCCAACAAGGCAGACACAGACTTCAGAGAATAATTAGGACTGCAGAAAAGACAATCACTATCAACCTGCCTCCCATTGAGGGCCTGTATACTGCACAGTCAGAAAGAGGGCTGTGAAAATATTTACAGACCCCTCACATCCCAGACATAAACGGTTTCACCTCCTTCCCTCAAAACAACACTATAGGGCACTGCACACCAGAACAACTAGACACAAGGACAGTTTTCCCCGAATGCTGGTAAACTCTGCTAAACAACTAACTCCCTCAACACTGTCCAACTATTTACAAAGTCTGCACTACTATTACTATTAATCTTCTCATCATTCCTTATCACCCATCCCCTCCCACTTGTGACTGTATGACTAACTTTGTTGTTTGTATCCTTGCGATTTATATGGACTGTTTCCTAGTATGATTAGATTGCTTATTATATACCCTATGATTATCATTAAGTGTTGTACCGATGATTCTTGACTAATGTCTCTTTTATGTACACTGAGAGCATTTGCACCAAGACAAATTCCTTGTGTGTCCAATCACATTTGGCCAATAAAGAATTCTATTCTATTCTATTCTATTCTATTCTATTCTATTCTATTCTATTCTATTCTATTCTATTCTTATTGTACGCTATGACTATTATTAAGTGTTGCACCTGATGATTCTTGACTCTTGACGAATGTCTCTTTTCTTTTATGTCCACTGAGAGCATTCGCACCAAGACAAATTCCTTGTGTGCCCAATCACACTTGGCCAATAAAGAATTGTATTCTATTCTATAAAAATCAGGTTGGCCATGTGACGGCCCCATTTGTGACTGTTATGACTCACAAACGCAGTGGTCGTAACTCGAAGACTACATCTATATTACAGCGATAACTTGAGGACTACCTAATCTAATAAAACATGTCCCAATTGTATAACTAAAACATGCACGCTAAAAGGAAATTCCTCATCTCTCCTAAGTCTCTAAGAAATGCCTTATTTTATTTATTTAGAAGAAGGAGTAAAACGCTTCTGAAAAGGCAGATTGGGAGACAGTGGGAACCTGCCCTTTTTACATCCTGCAAGACATTTGTAATTATTATGTGTAACAATGCATAATAATCCACTGTAACATTATATTATGTATAATTTAACCTATTGTGTATGGAAGACATGATGGATGTTAGAAACTAATACGTGGCTGCAAACGAATGAATCTTAATGCCAGCAACGAAGTCCTTTGGTTCTCTAAAATCTATAAGGATAAAAAGAAATGAATAGAGTTTTCAGAAGCCGTGGCCGAAAAAAGGAGCTTGAGTTAGTAAGGTTTTCAGAGGTATGTAATTTATTACATATTTGGCATAATGTGGTATTTATAGGTCTGACTTTGTTCACTGATACTGTACTTGTTTCAGTGATAAATACTGATACGTGCAACATTAATTAATTTACTGGTTGCTTTTAACACTGAGTTAGATTTATGGCTCTCGAAATGCAGGGCATTGCAGAATACATATTATTAACTGCCCAGAGTTGTTGGGAGTTGGGCAGCATACAGATTTAGTATGGCTAAATATCATGCTACTCTGCTTTTTATCTCGAGGGAAAGAGGTACAGGAGAAAAATGTCATACGGTTCACAAAAGTTAATCTCTCGGGGAAAAGATTAATCTCTCTCAGAGAGCCAGTTTGGTCTAGTGTTAAGGCACCAGGCTGGAAGCCAGGAGATGGTGAGTTCTAGGCCTGTCTTAGGCATGAAAGCCGACTGGGTGAATGGGGACCAATCGCCAGGAGATAGTGAGTTCTAGGCCTGTCCTAGGCATGAAAGCCATGGCCGATTGCCAGGAGATTATGAGTTCTAGTACTGCCTTAGGCATGAAAGCCAACTGGGTGACTTGGGGCCAATCGCCAGGAGATAGTGAGTTCTAGGCCTGTCTTAGGCATGAAAGCCGACTGGGTGAATGGGGACCAATCGCCAGGAGATAGTGAGTTCTAGGCCTGTCCTAGGCATGAAAGCCATGGCCGATTGCCAGGAGATTATGAGTTCTAGTACTGCCTTAGGCATGAAAGCCAACTGGGTGACTTGGGATCAATCGCCAGGAGATAGTGAGTTCTAGGCAGGCATGAAAGCCAGGGCCGATTGCCAGGAGATTATGAGTTCTAGTACTGCCTTAGGCATGAAAGCCAACTGGGTGACTTGGGACCAATCGCCAGGAGATAGTGAGTTCTAGGCCTGTCTTAGGCATGAAAGCCAGGGCCGATTGCCAGGAGATTATGAGTTCTAGTACTGCCTTAGGCATGAAAGCCAACTGGGTGACTTGGGACCAATCGCCAGGAGATAGTGAGTTGTAGTCCTGCCTTAAGCATGAGAGACAGCTGGATGACTTTGGACCAGTAATTTATAACAGCCCCCCACTTTGCTGCAAAAAGAAATTAAAACTGTTCTATTCCAACATGCTTTCAAGCACGGGTGTCTTACAATGGGTCCCTATCTTTGGTTTTGGTTTTGCTTTTACGAGGATGGTTTCGGTTTTGATATGGATTTAGTTCTTCATTACTGTGGTTTTTGGTGCTCTTTCAAGAGGCAAGTGGCCTTTCTTGGTTTTTTATTTTCCTTGAAGACCTTTCGCTTCTCATCCAAGAAGCTTGTTCAGTTCTCGACTGAATGGTGGAGGATGCAAGGATTTATATTCCTTTCAGACAAAGCTGGTCATTTGCATCCTATCAGAGGGCCGTTGAGGCCACCTGGAGGTTTACCTGAGTCCTCAGGGTCTCCTGAGTGGCGCAAATGGGTGTGGAACGAAACGCCTCTGTTGTGGGCTGTCTAGACTTCTCTGGGATCAGAAGAGGCAGACAGACAGATAGATGGAAAACAGATATATAAATAGGAGCAAGATAGAAACACGATGGATGGATGGATGGATAGATGGATGGACTGATAGATGGATAAATTAGATGGACAAAGAGGTGAGACGTAGAAAGATAGATTTGAAAAACCTGCAGTTAAGTCATCCAAAGCTGCTCCCATTTCAACATTATTTCTAGGTTGCTCCTGGAGCTTCTGGAAGTCCTCTTTGACAAATTCAACGCCGTGGCCACAGCTCACGCCATCGTGCTGGGTCATCTCCAGCAGACCGTGTCTCCTCCTTCCAGCCAGTACGAGGGCGAAATCAAGCTGTACGACATGGCAGATGTGTGGGTGAAGATCCAAGACGTCTTGCAGGTAAGGAATCCCCACCAATATATACCCTTCATTAGAATGCTGGCTTTTGAGGGGCGCGGGTGGCCTTAGAGGTGGAGCTCTCCTCTTACGATCCGGAGGCTGTGGGTTCGATCCTAAGGCAGGGGCTGATACTTCTTTCTCCGAAAAAAAGACCCGCTGAATATAAGTCCGTACTGGTGACAGGAAGGGCATCTGGCCAGGAAACACTTAGTTGCGTTCAGTAGACCAGATTCCACTCCGCAAGGGATTATGGGGTCATTGAAAGGTGGCGATAATGATTAGGGTGCTGCCTTTTTTTTCCCAAGCACAGGTCTTGAAAAGCTGAGCGCGCTCTCTCTCTCTTTCCCTCTCTCTCTCTCCCTCCCTCTCTCTTTCCCTCTCTCTTTCTCCTTCTCTTTCTCTCTTCTCTCCCCCTCCCTCTCTCTCTCTCTTTCCCTCTCTTTCTCTCTCTCCCTCTCCCTCCGTCCCTCTCTCTTTCCCTCTCTCTTTCTCCTTCTCTTCCCCTCTCTCCCTCCTCTCTCTCTCTCTCTTTTCCTCTCTCTTTCTCCATCTCTCTTTCTCTCTCCCTCTCTCTCTCTCTCTCTCCCTCTCTCTCTCTCTTTCCCTCTCTCTTTCTCCTTCTCTTTCTCTCTCTCCCTCCCTCTCTCCCTCCCTCCCTTTCTCCCTCTCTTTCTCTCTCTCCGTCCCTCTCTCTCTCTTTCTTTCCCTCTCTTTCTCCCTCTCTCTCTCTCTCCCTCCCTCCCTCTCTCCCTCTTTCCCTCCCTCCTCTCTCTTTCCCTCTCTCTTTCTCTCTCTCTCCCCCTCCTTCTCTCTCTCTTTCCCTCTCTTTCTCTCTCTCTCTCCCTCTCTCTCTCTTTTTCCCTCTCTTTCTCCCTCTCTTTCTCTTTCTCCCTCCCTCCCGCTCTCTCTCCCTCCCTCCCTCTCTCTTTCCCTCTCTTTCTTTCTCTCCTTCCCTCCCTCTCTCTCTTTCTTTCCCTCTCTCTTTCTCCCTCTCTCTCTCTTTCCCTCTCTCTCTCTCTCTCTCTCTCTCTCTCTCTGTAAGTTGTTAGCAAAGGCAGACGTTTGAGCAAGAGGCTTTGATTAAATTTTCGAAGAGGTACCTGTACGCCACGGAGGCACTACGAGAAATAGCGCCTGGGAGAAAATCCCAGGGAGATTTTTCCCTTCTCTCTACATGCTGGGAAAACATTGCAATTACGTTGTGAACGTTTCCGCCCTCGCTTTATAGCGTTGTCATCTTCTGGGTGAGGAGAACAGGGCTTAAAACGCAGGTCCTGGTAAGATGGGTTTTGGGTGCATTACCGTTGAGATTTTAGAGGAAGCCCTAACGGAAGGAAGTCTTGATGCTCTAGTATAAAATGGACCAGATATTCAGTTAATGGAAGAGGATAGCTGGCATAGTAAAACAAGACCATCGTCCTTCATTGTACCACTCCATCCTTACATTATTGTATTATATCCCAAGAAGAGCACGTTGGAAGAAAATATCCTTCTGGGTTCAGTTCCAAGTGGGGAAAAAGACACTGGAAACGTGGAAGCCGCTTGGAAAGACAGTTTACTGATAAACAGGATGGGTTCCTGGGCAGATAAGTGATGCTGAGAGACCCCGGGTTTTATACCCTCTCTGGGCTTTGAACTTCCTGGGGCACAGGAAGAGTATCCTGATTGGTCGCTGTCAGAGGTCACAGCTAGCTTTGTAGGTTGTCTGTGCGCTAAGTTTGGTTGAAACTCGGTGGGCGGTGCAATGAAGAGCAATTCGATGGCTTTGCCTGAAAGAGGTAGGTCTTTGTTATGTAGCCCAGGCCTTAATGGCCCATTAACAAAGGGGTAGGTGGGTGAGTTTCTGCCTCTCTGAGTTTCTACTTCTCTTTGAGGGAAAACATTCTGCCTTTTCAGTATGTCCTAAAAATATTTCATTTTTCAAGGAGAGGGGTGGGTTTCAACTTCCAACAAGCACATGTAACATCTTGGCTCCGTGAAATGCGTTGGATGCCAGTTTGCTCCCGTGTCCAATTCAAGGTGTTGGTTGTGACCGCTAAAACTCTTACGTGGCACGGGGCCAGGCGACCCATGGACTCGTTTTTGTCCCATCACCTCAGCCAGACGGATTTTAAGTAGTTTTAACAGCATTAATCCTCCTTGCCTCCTTGCAAAATAAATACATTTTGATCTGTTGCTTTTACTATTTTAACATTTGTTTGTATGCCACCCCAGGTCCCTCTCTTGAGGGAGATGGGCAGTTCAAAAATGTGAGGAACGCATGCAAGAAAGGTGCCGGCTGCGATTGTTACCGAGCTCCTCATTTCTCCATTTTCAGTGTCAAGTCAGCGTTGTTTATGCCTTTAGTCTGACACATTTTCCATAGAGGTTGTTAGATGCATCCCGAATGTTTTGATCCAGCCGGAGTGTCGATACAGTATTTCAGATAAAAATGGGATTGCGGAATTAAAAGCAGAACAAGATTTGTCCCAAACAATTGTCCCAAGCTTGGGACAATTTTTTTGCGTAGCACAACGGGGAGCAATGTGACAAGCATTCCATGCAAATCAGTTAGAAATATTTTCTTCTCAGTGCGGGGGGATTATAGGTGAGATTCAAATCTGAAGCAAAAAAAAAAAACCACAATACAATAAAATAAACCCTGGGAGGGATTTTGTCCTGGATTCGTTGCAATTTAAATTTTATTTTGGGAGGGAGAAGAGAGAGAAGTTCTCCCCCCACCAAAAAAATATGCAAATGCTAACGAGCCAGCAGTGAAAATGAAGTAATATTCAATGCTGAAGCTTTGGTTTCAGTCCGAGATGTGGTTTGAGGCGTGCAGAAAATCAATTCTTAATAAGATAACGGATTGATAATTGCTTAATTAGATAGCCCAATTCACATGGGAATGTTGAGAAATAAGAATTCTCTTACCTTCACCTAAAATCCATGATTAAATGCATAAGATGCAGCTGCTCTCCGGGTGCGCAGAGGGATCCTGGCTGGCCCTTTCTAAAGTTCGTGCTCTGAAACATGAAGGCTTTTGCTCACGAATAGAGGCAAATCATCCGTGTCCCAGGAGGAAAACGTTACAGGATCCAATCCGGGTCGGTCACCGGGATCAGAGTTTTTGTCTTATGCGCTTTCACACTCTCTTCTAGAAAGAGTGCAGAGAAGAGCAACCGAAGGGATTAGGGGACTGGAGGCTAAAAGAGGCGAAGAAAAGTTGCAGGAACTGGGCCTGGCTAGTTTGATGAAAAGAAGGACCAGGGGAGACACGATAGTAGCCTTCCAATATCTCAGGGGCTGAGAGGAGTCAAGCTATTCTCCAAAGCACCCGAGGGCAGGACGAGAAACGATGGATGGAAACTAATCCAGGAGAGAAGCAACCTAGAACTCAGGATAAATTTCCTGACAGTGAGAAGAATTAACCAGTGGAACAACTTGCCTCCAGAAGTTGTGGACGCTCCAACACTGGAAGGTTTTAAGAACAGATTGGACAACCTTTTGTCTGAAATGATATAGGCTTTCCCACCTGAGCAGGGGGTTGGACTAGAAGACCTCCAAGATCCCTTCCAATTCTATTCTATTCTATTCTATTCTATTCTATTCTATTCTATTCTATTCTATTGTTGAGCTATAAGCCATAATCATCACAATTTTGCCAAATCACGGCTTGAACTATCTTGCTTTGCATGTAATGAGTCTGTCTCATATATTAGGTTCACCTTTTAAGTTGCATTCCTGAAATAAATGAACTTTTGCACGATATTCTAATTTTTCGAGTTTCATCTGTATGTGGTGCCTGGTTGCATGTGGCTTTTTATTTGTTGATTGGGGTGTTGATGGCCAGCTATTAAGTCGTTGGCTGTTGTTTCTTTGTGCTGCCAAGTCTTTGGCTCCTAAATACCTGATAAGCTGAGGTTAAATCACTCCTGTTGACTGACAAGGGGCTTGTTTCCCAGCCTTCAATAATTTGCTTGGGTATTTTTGTGCCTGCTCAGCCAACAATCTTAGTCGCTGCAAAATTGAATGTATGTCCTTCTTCATTGCTCTGTGAGGTTATCAATGAGTTCGGGTCTCTTCATCTGACCACTTGGTTGTGTTCTTGCAATCTGGTTTACTACCAGCTTAATCAGGCTTCCTTCCTTCCTTCCTTCCTTCCTTCCTTCCTTCCTTCCTTCCTTCCTTCTTTCCCTCCATCCTTCCCTCTTTCTTTTTTCTTTCTTCCTTTCTTTTTTCTTCCTTCCTTCCCTCCCTCTCTCCCTCCTCCCCTTTTCTTTCTTTTTTCCTCTCTTTCTCCTTCCTTCCTTCCTCCCTCTTTCTTTTTTCTTTCTCTCTCTTCTCTTTCTCCTTCCTT